CTAACAGGGTGTATTGTTTCCTGTTATGACGCAAAGGAAGCCTTCCTTTTGAATTATAGAGTGTTGTCCAGACCAAACTTTGAATGACTGGCAAAATTAAAGACTGCACGTTCCAAATCGGCCTGCCCTCTGCTTAGACTTTAAAATACTGAGTGCATGAAAATGCATGGTAAAACTTTGAAATATTAAGATATTCTCTAAGGACTAAGCTTTTATTTTGAATTATCAAAAGATTTGGTATATCCAGTGTTGAAATTGAGACTGTATTGTGCTGCATTTAGAGGACATATGACAAATGGGTAACGTTTCATAACTACAAGAAGAAGAATTACAAAAATACCCAAATAAATGATAATTAACTCACTCAAAACTTTATGTTGCAGATTTAAATGGGGCCAAGTGAAAACACCCATTTTTCACTCTTTCAAGTGACTTAGTCAACAAGAACCAATTAAGAACCGCAGCCAAGGAGATAATTGACATGTTGTCAGTAAAATGGAAGTTAAAGAGTGCTTGAAAATGTACTAATTAGCGAAGAGAGGGCAACAAACATTCAAGATGTAAACACTTGAAGAGACATTGTAAACATTGGGACTTTATAGGCCTGGACCTGAGGTAGGGTAAAGGCGAAGATGCAGGACAACATGTTCTGGGGTCAAATGGACGGAGCCATCCGAGTATCAGATTTGTACAAAAGGTGAGCGAAAAGTTACAGATGATAGTTTTGAACTACATGCCACAGGTGGGAAAGTTAGTCCGAAAATCACGAGGAAGGATGAAAGCACTAACCTTTCCCAGAGGGCCTATAGTATGTATACAGACAGCAAAATTATTTTATTCAAATAAAAAAAAAACTAAAAAGTATATTTTTTACATTTATTATTTATACCATGTTGTAAATAGTTAACCTATGCTGCACTTTGTCCAAAATATTTTTTTTTTTTACTTATTTTCTAACTCTTTTCTTCTAGTTCAAAGCACTTGTACTAATTCAGTTAATTTAACACAAGAGATCACATTCTAAAGTTTATTGTAAGTTCCTATCTCTAAGTGCAAGCTTGGGAACCAACTTTTAAAAGTTGACCAAAGATTCACTGTAGAAGACATTTTGCAATCTTTATTAGCATTAAAAAGTCTGCTTGGGGCATGAATTAGAAGTAAACTTATTCTTATCCTTTGGGAGGGCTTACCCCAGATTGGCATATCTAGGTAGGTTATCTAAAATTATTGATCATAGGTAATAGACGTAGCTTATTTACTGACTACAATCAGCATTTTATTTTGACAGGACAATTGATCAAAAATCCAATTCAAAGAAAGCTAAGTCCAGTTTCAAACCACCATTATGATAATGGAGAGTTTAAGTTATTGAAACAATTTGTGTAAAAATCACAATTCATTGAAAAAAAAAAAAAAAACAATTATTTACAGTGTTTCTTATATTGCAAATGTTAAAGTATAAATCTTAACATACTTTAATCCATAACAAAACTATATTAATGAGGGGTTTCATTGCAAAACTCACTCAATGTAGTTTGGCACTTAACTTTATCTCTATATATAAATGTGAAACCTGAAATTGAGCTTCAAAACCCGTAAGGAGCAAGATTTGTCATGACACGCTTGTAAATAATGAGTTTTGACATGACATTCTCTGAGAGTAGTAGAGTAATTTGAAGCGTGACAATTGGAAGCAACGTTATTTGCCAGAGAGTTTTGGAAAGGCTACAAATTCCGGTGAACGTCATGAAGCGGAAAGTAAATAAAAGAAACGTCTTATAACACTTAAAAGATATATTTACGCTTATACTGTTACTCACAAGACGGTAAATATACAAAAAAGATGGTAAGTGGTGATCGATTTCGATTGGACACTCCAATCTTCATCAGACCCAATAGGCAAATGTTTGCCTATTGGGTCTGATGATGATTGGAGTATCATCTTTTCACTTACAATCTTTTGTATATTTACCGTCTTGTGAGTAACAGTATTAGCGTAAATATATCTTTTAAGTGTTATAAGACGTTTATCTTATTTACTTTCCGTAAATTTAATAACACGTACAATGTTGATCAAGAAGTTATTTAACGTCATGAAGATAAAGCATTTTGATTGGCTAGTTGTAATGAGTGAATTATATAACAACAAAAAGGGTTTTAAAATAAGTTAGTTTTGGAAAGGTTTATGTTAAAGTCAATACAGACTTTTCTAACAAATCCAGTGATAACAATATCTCAAAATAGCTTATTACCTATATAGGAATATCGCTAATAAAAAAATATATCAATAAGTGAGTTTTAGAATGGAAGGCCTCATATATAAGAACAGGTCAACAGTGTTATAAACCCTGCCAAAAGGGAGTGCTGTGTTTACCATTACGTTTGTATATGTCTGGGAAGTGGGTTGAATAAATAAAGTCCTTTGATTAGAGCAAATGAGAGGAGGTCCATAATTCAGATCCCAGGGGTCCAAACACTCACTAGATATCAACACTCTATGCCTTCATTTCATATTTGTTCTGTGTCTAGAACTTGTATTCAATCATTTTTTCAGTGTATGTATCAGGGTTGCCACCTAAGGAACCAAAATCGGGACTGTCCCGACAAAATTGTAACATGATGATTTAACAAACATTGTAAAGAACCATGACTATCCAAGACACAACAATACTTTAATATACAGTAGAATGGCGTATACATACTAAAGACCTGATAAGTATTAAAAAATTGTGAAAATTCAAAAACCCCTTAACACGTTTGCTGCGGGCCATCAAATGGCAGGCGTAGCCCCAGTGCGGCGCAGCCCGCAGCGTCGAACAAACCCGATTGCCTCCCATATTTCGGTATGACGAATAGCAAATAACGTGCGGTGATGTCCTGTTTTATAACAAGAGTCGACGTAGTTCGCTAAACACTCACATATAGCAGCACTGCTTGGAACGTAGCCGGTCCCATCGTATTGCCAATTGGAGGGAGAAAGACGGGACAACAAGTTGATTTTTAAGTTTGCCAGACGGGGATTTTATGGGGAAATTTTACTACCAACCTACAACACAACAAAAAGCAAGTCACCCACTACACGCTAACGTGGAGTAGGTCTGCCTTCGACCGACGCTAGAGCAAAAATGATGATATACGAAAGGCATTGCCGAGCGTATCCGATCGGTTACGGCAGCATCTGAACAGCGCTCGGCCCGTATCTGATCGGATACGACCGCAGTGAACGTGTTAACAGGGTTAGAAAAGAAAACATTTAGGTCTACTTAAAAAAAATTTTAAAGTACAATACAGGATACTAAAAAGCGCAATAATCAAAAAATCTTTCTCATTCACACTAAAAAACCGTAAACAATGGTCTCAATGGTTACAGTCTCTGACAGCCTGTAAACAGAAGTGATAGCAGACGACCAGCATGAATAACTCTTACCACGGATGCTTAGGCTGGTGGCTTGACGCAATTCAATGGAAAATTTGGTTTTTTTCTCGGACGTTAAGTTTCACTTTTCAAACTTACTAGGATGGTTGGCAACCTGCATGGTTAGTGTCTGGTTATATGTCCACTCTTTTTTTACTATGCTTATTGAATTTATTGAATTTTTATGGTTTAAAACTGGATCTTGATTGTTGATCAGTCCTGACTAGAGAAACAGCTGGTCTTAAGTCAGTCAAAGCTATATAAGGACGTTTAATTTTAGGGCAGAAAAACTCACTCCCTCCACTTTTCCTCCCAAACCACCAGATAAATCTTTTACACTGAATCGTTAAAACAATAGAACATTTTTTCCCAAACCACCAAAAATATTCACAAATATTACTATTGGATGGTAACATTTTCCTTGATCAATTTGTATCATTTTAATTAAAACACTGATATGTTATACAAGTTGCTTGTACTTCGCTGTATCTTTTTCACTTATTTCAATTATCTCTACACAGCAGAAAATTTCATTAATTGGAAACAGCGACCCAAATACAGATTTTTCTACCTTAATGCCATATTTTCTTTCTGGGGAAATTTGTTGGACAAAATTGTATTTGATTGCATAGCTTGCATATTACTAAACACTTTTTTAATGTTTTCAAGGAGTGGTCTTGCTGGCCAACCACAGGAGGCCAAGCCCAAATGGAGGATGTGGTTCAGTAAAGTCCGTGGTTACCCTCAACGTAGAGTCTCTCCGGCCAAGACCAAGATAGCCTGGTCTGGCCAAATATCTCCCAGGTATGGCAGCACCACAGCAGATTTAAACTCATTGATTTAACTAGATGAAATATATTTAGATTTAGTTTAAATTTTTAGCCAACCCACAAAAGAACTTTAAAGCGTATTCAATTCAATTCAATTCATACTTGGCTCAAAAACCCAACATTTGTATGGTTGCCATTTCAGATTAAAATAAAGTAAGGTAAAGCGGTCCAGGCCTATAGATACAATTATCATTAGGATTTTGGTTTGGTTTCTCCATCGCTGGTAGGGGTTTCCTGGCTTTGAGTGTTGTGGCAGACTTTGAGAGGCATTGTTCCTGTGTCTGGGTTAGTTATTTTCGAATTTTCCCCGTGTAAAAGAAACTTCCAAAGGAAAAAGTATTCAAGAAATATGCATTTAACACCTTTAAAAGCTTGAGAAAGATTGACCAATATAAATTTTTTGTCTGAAAGATTACAGAAACATTCACATATTTTGTGATTTATAACAAATATAGATAGTGTTTGAAAATATTTATAACATTTACAATTGTTAAGGAGTTAAAATAATCATTTGGGGTTTCTACAGAGGTAAACATATATTTAGAAGGAGATGGATTTTTCGTTCACACAATAATAAAATCATCAGACATAGTAGAGAAGAGACAAGACCAAGCCAGTTGCCTGAGGGTTTGAGCTGCTTTTAACCATTTTTTCTTTTCATGCATCAACACTTTTGCAAAAAAACCATCGAGATAAAGCAAAAACCAATTGATTTCAGAACGTCAGGTCTAGTCAAAGGACCCAACAAGGCAGGCATGCACTGCAGTGTTCGCTACATCCTAGGGTTGGCCGCAGTGCTTGGAACATTTCCTGTCACTAACATCACCAGCAGCAGCACCAGGCGATTGCGGTTCCGTTGGCTCAGCCCCGTAACTGTCTATACCATGGTACTGCTGTTAGGCTTCGTCACAGTTGAGCTCATTTCCATTGACTACACCATCCAGCATCTCAACCAGGCCAACCTCACAGTGGCCGGTCAGTACCACTCACAGAGTTTTGATGGTCATTCAATTTTTTTTTTAGAGACCTCTCAAAGTTCTTTGTAGTGGACATTTTGTATTTAAAAGTAGGGATGGTCAAGTCTCGAAACTTCGGGAAATTTTCGGGAAATTTTAAATCTCGTTACACGAGACGAGATTTCTTTTTGGCCGAGATTTTTATCAAGACAAGAATAAAAAAAAAAAAATTAAAAAAAAAAATTAAAAACGCCTGCAGAAAGTCAATGCAATACCCGCAATACAGGAGCGTGTTGTAGTTGCGTTTCCTTTGCGAAGGCGTTCTTATTTAATTAATTCTTCAAATGTAAATATTACTTTAATTATTTTAATAACATTTGAGAAGTTTTGTTTGTTTTGTTTTGAAGTGTTAGCAGTGTGAGGAATGTTTTATTACTACAAAAAAAGTCAAAACAAGTAACTATTTTATACAAATTAATATTTTATTTTATGATTTATTTTATTTTAGGATAAGTTGAACTCTATCCTAACTGATATCACTGTGTTTCCTAATCGTAGGCATTTTTAATAATTTAGGCGTGATTAATAAAAAAAATGTTATGCTGAGGTTTTTTAATAAAAGATTGTAAATATTCTTGCCTATTATCATTATTTTTGTATTTAAACAGTCATCTAACAATATTACAAAATCAGGTAAAAATTCCGAACGTGCATTTCCCGTTGTGTATGAGAAGGGAAATCCCGTCTCGATCTCATCTCGAAATTTTATGAGAAATAAAAAATCTCGTCTCGTCTCGTCTCGAACTAAAAATCCAATCTCGTCCATCCCTATTTAAAAGGTAGATTGGTTTGGGCATGGGATTATCACATAGTGAGCTGTCATTAGTAACTGGCAGGATTTGAACCTGGAACCTGATTATTTATCCATGACAGAACTTTAGTGTAGTAGAGACTTAAAGACGACATTTTAAGCTGTAGACCAGCATTTCTTCAGGTTTATTTTCAAATGAGCTTTTAGTTTCAGTAAATTCTAACAAAATCTCTCATTCCAGCAGTACCTTTTAGCCTACGTAAAAACTTCAGCATCACACACAGCAACTTTGAGAATATTATCTGTTAAGCCTGGGAAGGATTCCTACTAAAATATTTTTATTGTTAGTTTAAATTATAAACTAAACAAATTGTTATCCTATATGATTTTATTTTAAGACTGAGGGAAGGGAGGTATAGCTCGTCACATCTAAGCTGGCACTTGGCCGATCGCTACTAGTACCTATTTCAAAAACATTATGTCCCGTCATGCCGGTTGCATCAACTATCCTCGCGACCCATATGAAGGAGCTCAAGTACACAATACACCCCCGCCGGTAGCGGGGGAGCGGGGTAGTCAACCTCGTGAGGCAGCGGAAATGTTTGCAGTTCGGTCTTTTCCCTACCACCACCCTCCTCCCGCCAACACTGCCCGCGTTAGGCCAAGTGCCAGCTTAGATGTCACAAGCTGTATATGACTTAGGCAGAATTTTATAAAACATAAATCCTTTTTAGAAAATATTTGCTGAAATGGTACAATTAGGGTTACCAGTATGCTCGAGAAGCAATCTAAACTTTACTCACAGATGCAATACACCTCAATCCGTAGTGGGAGTTAATTGTTTTATAATAATAAAGAACCATAGCCTACAGTTCACTATACAAGATTTGCTATACAGTACAAATTACCTGTGTTGTTGCTGCCTTCAAGACTCATGCTTTCCAGTCCCTGTTTCAGCAAATCGATATCTGCAATAGCGCTTTTGTGGTTTTGATTTTCATTGATATCCCTGAAAAAAGTCATAATGCAGTTGTAAAAAAAACAGTGTTACAAGAGATCAACACTGTAAGCGTTTTTACTAGTTCTATTACGTTGGTAAAAAAATGATTAGTCTAATGGAAGTAATTTCATAAATACTGATATAGGCCTAATGGTTTTTACCTCGGCTAGTAAAAATTTAAAGTAGATTATCACAAATGATCCAGGGCAATAAAAAAAAATTCTATAAACTCAGTAGCTTAGTCACTCCGCCATCTTGAATCATAGCTCATGTACAGCCAGCAGTTGTAGATGAGACAATGGTCTGAGAGGATGACGTCGTGCGATCTGGGCGCATTTTGTCCCTCAAAAACAATAGATGTTCGTAAGCAAACTACTTTACTTTTGCCTCGGCTCCAGACCCACTTTTTGGCTTTTTGTTCTCTCATTGAAATTGTCCTATCACTTTTGTCATCTTGTTCAAAACTTCAACTTTTGCCATGCATAGTCTTTTAAGTTTCTGTCTTTATAATCAGCATTGGTTGGGTCCCACAACACAGGGCGCTTAAAATGTAGCACGATGCTGGGCGCGGGGGTTACGGGGAAGAGAGGGACCTGTTATTAACAAAAATTAACGCACTAAAAGAGATCATTAACTTTTGTTACAAACATTTGTTAAAAACATAACACATTTCCTTTGATCTTTACCGACTCTTGATGGATAACATAATTCTTGTTGATAACAAGGAATTATCTGTTAAAAACACGAGTCATTAACTTTTGTTTAGGGAAAGTTTTGGGCGATTCTGTCAAGTTAATTTTGTTATTAACTCCGGTGTAAACGCGACTTTAGCTAAGTTGATATAGTATCACAGTGGATGAAACTTCCAAAATGTTACTTTCTTAAGCAAGTTTTACAAGAAAAAACGAGGTGTGCAGCATTTGCGTCTAATCTGGCTTCTGACCAATTCAGTCACACGACAGTGACATTTACAACACGCTTGTAATTAGACTACAATGTATAAGAATAACACATTCTTAATTCCTAGAATATCACATGCTAGGAAAACTAATACGTTTGCGATGCATGAACACACATTTGTGTTAAAAGCGAATGAGTGACACTATTTGACAACGCTTTTCGTAAAACCGTCATGATGTTTAGAGAACACTTTTACTGTCCCCGTGCATAAACACTAATAACCAGGAAAGCCCCGTGACTGCCGTGCATAAAAACCGGCTTTAGCTATAAAAGTAGAGATAAAATTGACAATATTTGGATGAAATAAATAGGATAAAATACCCATGCTGCTGGTCTGATTGCCTAAATTTTCAAACAATGATATTGTATGCAGAGCCCTCCTTAAAGAATGCGAGGCCTGGGGCAATACATAGATGCGAGGCCTTGTTTAATAAATGCTTACTGGGAGTCTGGGGGGGGGATGGAATACACCCCAGCAGAAAGGGGGGGTCCGGATGAATTCACCCCCGGAAATTTTTGTAAAATTATACTTGCAAAGTCCTCATTTTAAGCACTGACAAAAAAAATGAATCTTATACACTCTGAAAATAGTTTTGTGAATATTATTGCTAATTGCACATATTATTGTTCCACTTCCAAAGTGGATATCATAAATATTGCCCACAAAGTTCTTTGCAATTGTTAATAAAAAAATTAACTCTTCTCTGTTCTGGGAAGTTGGTGTCAAAGATATCAAAAAAATATTAGGCCTACCTATATAATTGTCAATGAGCGTGACAGTAAGAGTTAGCGTAAAAGTACGACTCACTCAACGGGGGCGGCAACCGCGGGGCTCGGGTTCCCTCATCCCGCCGCCGTTGCTGTCGAACGATGTTTTGTATTCTTTTGTGTTTTAAATGTTGTTCATAGGTTTTTGTTTTTATTAAATCAATGCAATAATTGAAATAATTCATAGCAAATCAGACAGGCACGCATATCTGTCTGTCCTTTTATTTTATTATTTTCATTTAAAAACTTTTAACTTATTTTTAGAGAGGCAAGGCCTAACTAAAACCTTAAAGGCCTTGCTCGGTCGCTCCACCCTAAGGACGGCACTGATTGTAAACAATTACTGACATTGTTTAGCAATATAGAATCAGAGAATTTTAAAACCAATTGCTTTGTTTACAAATCCATTTTCTTAAACTACGGTAGTTTCATATTACTCGTAATATTCTTTAGGCTACTGATCATTTGAAAGAATATTTGAGCAGGAGATATATACGTACGTCAGATACTTATCGATATGTGTAAATGAGCTTTGTTGAAAGAGTGTAGTTGATTGCTATGGGGTTTTTGTGAAAATATTGATGTTTTAACTTGAATAAATTTTGACAGACATGAAAGGATATTCTTGAATCACATGATTGATGGATAAAAAGTTGTTTACTGAAACCATGGCAATGCAAAATGTTTTATTTTTCTTTTGAGGAAGTTACACCCAGTCTTACTTTTAACATGGTCAAAATTAGCTTTAAAGACTTCAAAAAAGAATTAGACACATAAACTAGGAGTATCAGTTGGGCCTAAATCTGTTATGAGTAAACGTAACAAGATAGAAGAACTAGGGAGAATCGGTGTTCAGTCGATATCACAGTGGGTTTTGAATTTGTGACATGAAAGTCATCTTGTGGGTTCACGTAAAATTTTATCAGTACACAGACCATCTGTACTATAGCCTGCCGACTCTCCTCTTGCTTTAATGGATACTATCCACACATGGGCCCGAGGCGTTTGTAGGTGGGCAAATGCAAAGTTAAAAAGGCCACCAACCTTTATAAAAAAATAAAATTGGATAAAAAGCTGCAGACTTAGAAATTTTCTAATAGACTGACTTTAATTCATAACCCTTAAAAGGACAACAACACCTTAACCTAGGCCTACTGTTATTTTTATTTTTACGCTTTAGAAAATAAGATTTCAAATTAAATTATTAACATTTATGTTTTGAGGGGCTAATTTCTACCCCCAAATAAAACATTATAAAATGCAAAAATATTATAGTATGTATGGGAGGTAAAATTACTCAGTCTCGATGGTTTTACAGGTGGTTTTAAGCGAGCAACATCGGGGACGATTTTCTACGGCAACGCTTGTATTGGAATATATCTGTTCCTCTCTTTAGCCAAGGCTTGGCCAGACTTGGCGAATAAATGGAGGACTGTTGAGTTGTCAATGAAAATTTATGGTCAACCTCGACTTTTTCTGCGCTTTATAACAATAGCAACAGTATTCATGTCATTGGCTTTCAGTAAGTATAAAATCCAATTTACTAATCAACAAATTAAGCAAAAACTTTTTAACACAACCAATTTGTAACACCCAGGAAATAATTTTAGTTCTTAACTCCATAAGGTTTGCTGTATAATAAAATGTCTTATGGAAAAGAAAATGGGCAAGGCCGTCCTATTTTTCAGGGGCTATAAAAAATGAAGTTTTAAAATTAGCAAACCAAAGGCCTTAAATAATCGGCAAAACTTGATAATCGACTCCATTGTGATTTACGAACACTGTCGATCTGATCTAAGGACTAATCCTACCTCACTCTCCTTTTTAAAAACGAATCCAACCCAACCCTTTCACATGCTTTCATTTAGCAATAATAAATTAGGCCTATAGGCCTATATATCATGTTCGTCATTATTTGTTAAGGAATTGAATCTAACCGATAACAGCCCAACTTTTCTGGTTAGCCTAGTGGTATAAGTTATCTTTATATTCAACCACTATCTAATTCAAAATAAATGTATAAATTGACTTTTTAGCCATCACAGTTATAAAAAACACGATGGACAGGTTCAATTCCCGGAACATCCACAACACATAAGGGTTTGGACCACTTTCCAGGAAAGCGTAAGCACTTTAACCTTTAACTCCTCAAGTAAAAAATGCCACCGGAGTAAAAGATTACAAAATAAAACACATAACACTAAACCAAAACATAACAAGAATCCAGACATGTATCTTAATCCTAGATGCGTATCACGACATCAGTTATTTTTATTTTTAGCATTAATATTTGTGTCCTTGCTAGCCGGTTTCTTGAAACGCATACAACAAACTTACGTGTCCGTACTGTTTGTGCATAGAAAAATAGCCGGCAGTACATCAAATTTACGTATTGGTACCCTTAGCGTCACACTGTATGACGATACGTTACTACACGTATGACAATTCCTATAAAACTATCAGTAACAAATTTATGTATTGATACCCTTAGCGTCATAATGTATTGACAATAACTTTCTAGGGGGAATGCGAATGGTAGGCCTGTTGTGTGAGGTAACGACTTACAATGTGGGTTTTAACTTGCGCAGTAGACAGGGCCGATTTACCGAATAGGCACAGTAGGCACGTGCCTAGGGCGCGAGGCAATTGGCTTTTTTGGGGGGCGCCAAAAAATTGGAAAATAAAAAAAAATGGAGGTTGTATTTGCATAGGATCGCGGTAAACTTCTGATAATCCCTCGCGGCCGTGTATACATCGTAATCATCTCCTGTGATTGCGGCAAAATTGTGACTTTTTTCCACGGTCTTGTAGACATAATTATCGTCTTCCATGATCATATATCACCACAATAATATATGAACATATTCCACGGTGGTAAGGAGATTATCATCTTCTACCGCGAATGAGCCAAAAAAACTATCTTTTCCCTTGATCGTATGGACATTATCATCGTTTTGCGTGATCGCGGGCAAATTCTGATCAACCCTAATGTGGCCGTGAAGTCATGAAGACATGTTTATATCGTCCCCCGTGGTCGTTTGGACATTGCATCCCACGATTGCGGCGAAATGGTACTGTAATCATCTCCCGCGGCCATGTGGAGATCATCGTCATCCGTGAATGGCAAAATTCTGGTCTTTTCCCGCGGTCATGTGGACATTATCATAGTCTTGCACGATTGTGACAAAATTCTGATCCCTCTCATATCATTATTTTATCTCCCGCAGTCAAAAATATATGCAGCCATCATAATCGTCTCCCGCGGTCGAAAAAACATTGTTATCGCCTCCCGTGATTACGGCAAAATGTTAATAATATCCCGCAGTCGTGTGGAGATAATCATCGTCTTCCGTGATCGCGGCCAAATTCTTGCTATTTCCCGTTGTCATGTGGACGCGTAAATATTACCATGGTCTTCAGTGATCGCGACAATATTCTGATCATCCCTCGTGACTCTGTAGATATCATCATCGTCTTCTGAGATGACGGAAAATTCTGATCATCCTTCGCGGCCATGTGCAGAAATATTATCGTCTCCCGTGGTAACGGAAACGTCTCTGTTGTCATGCACGATCGTGGTAAATTGAAAATTCCAGGTAGAAATTCAAATGTCATGCATAATTCCCGGTTTAAAAAAACTCACGCATAAATCAAGGATTTCCAAGTTTTCCCGGTTGGTATTGACACCCTGTTATATTTTGCAAAGGGGCGCAACTATTAGTTGTGCCTAGGGCGCTGACTTGGTAAAAAACGGGCCTGGCGGTAGATAGCGAGTAGAGATGGTGACTAACATCTCTTACATGACACACTTTCCTCCCTCTACATTCCACATACTTAGCCAGATATTAATGGATCACCTTGAAAAGGTGACACATATATATGAACTAACTTATAACTTATAACTTACTTATAAACTTATAACTAACTAGTTAACTAACTAGTTAGTTAACTTATAACTTATAACTTAGCCTATCAACAGTAAGTTAGCATACTGTATTGAAATTTGAGACTGCACTTTAGTAGGCTATCTGTCCTATACTCATGTGAATGAAAAATATGAGCATAGGTACTGTAGCCTATAATTTGATGTATCGATTATTTCATTCGGTTAGTTAGATTAGGTTAACCAAACTAACCACAGTTGTTGAATGAAACAATCGATATAGGCCTTTCGATCAATATATTCTTAATCAAATGAGTGTAGGACAGATACTAAAGTGCAGCCAAAATTGAAAATAGTTATTGGCCTTGGTTCGATATTGTTAACTTACTTAGTTTTATTTATTATATATAAATAAAAACTTAAAAAAATCATAAAACAATTTAATGTTTACATCGACAAAAAAGTCATTTTGTAACCTATGTTAATCGGAACTGTAGGCCTACCACCCTGACTGGTTTTATTAGTACGTGAACTGTAGCACAGAAAACATACTACTATAACCCAGAATGCCAACCGCATGGTAAAAAGCATTAAGTGTTTTGAGAGAGCTTTGCCTGTCAATCGCAGGCAGCGCCACCAGCGTTGCCATGCACTCAGCATAGCAACGCTGGTGGCGCTGCCTGCAATTGACAGGCAAAGCTCTCTCAAAACACTTAATGCTTTTTACCATGCGGTTGGCATTCTGGATTATAGTAGTATGTTTTCTGAGACTGTAGCCAAACTTATCAAATAGCCTATTTAAAAAAAAGGTTCAATAGAAGTAGGGTTGTCCCTAAGATCTCTTGCGTTTATTCTATAATTTGAAATATTTCGTTAATATCTACAACTGAAAAATCGATTAAAACTGTTTGGTAAAATGTAGAAAGGACAAGCCTAGGCCTAGGCAAGTATGATTGAGGATTATTCATCATAAACTTAACCTATAAATATTGAAAGTTGCAAATGTGTATTTCTGATTGAACAAATACAGTGTTTAGCCTACCTATAGGAGTTTGATTAGAAGAGGCTACGAAGGTACAAAGTTAGGCCAGATTTTCCCAGATTTAAAATAGGTTCGATTTTCACCCCGTTAATAGGTCATAGGCCTATAACGTAAGGTCAATCAATAACAGGGTGAAAGCAATTTGTTTATTTACAATAAAATTAGTATTTATATAGTAGAGAAATTTAGGTAGAACCAGTCATAGGGCCTAATGACAAAGTTGATTCTAGAACAAAGTTAAAATGTAAAATCTAGTTGGCTACTAACTTAGGGCCTAGCTGTTTATAAAAAAAATTAACAACCATCTTACTTGCTCACTAGGCCTATTACATCCTCATTGCCCATTGTTAGCGATATTTTGTGGTTATGCCTAATCAGAAATTCTTCCAAACTTGATGATTTTTTTACACTTTCAAATTCCTTAAATACAGTTTTTCTATGTCTTTTTCGTGTTCACTCACCAGAAGGTTCAGTGATTCAATCTCGTTCGTTGTCGTTGCACTGACTGACAGAGTGAGTGACAGTCGACAGACGAGACAAGCCAGCCAGCCAGACAGACTCCGATGACCGATACAGACAACACACAATGAATGGACACATCAGCTGTGCTATTAAAGGTTGCGCAAAGATGAAAAAATCAATGCAAATGAAAGCGATCACTGACTAAAGGCGGCCGTGGTCACTATACTGTACTGTAATAAAAGTGCCTAAGAGACATAAGCTGGAAGCTGGAAAATGTGAATGAAAGAAAAGTGAGAACAACAACAATAACGATAGCCTTTCTATGTCCGAATTTGCACAAGGCCCCACTGGAAAAAAAATGCCGCAATCCATTTTTTGTTATCAAGTTTTATTTATGAAATATTGCAATTCTTTAGTTAAAAAATGTCAATATTTCAAAATCAAAATATGAAAATGAAAAACGGATCATGGAATTGAGTTCAGCTTAAAAAAGTGATTCGAAATGACGGGTCACAACACCCCCTTCATATTAAATAGTTATTTGTGCAACTAGTGAGAAAAGTGAGCAATTGACTCACTCGAGAGAAATGGTTTCTCGAGTGAGGCAATTGTACTTTGAACTCGAGTTGCACATTATACTTTTCCTACAGTTACCATAAAACAAATAAATTGGTGAAGAAACATAACCTATTTTTACACAGAAGTGAACTTTTAATATAACATTTAATGTGAAGTGACAGTCTACAACAGCTGACCAGCTGATTTACAGCCAGTGCTGCCAACGTACTTCGCGCGCATACGACGTTGCCTGCATGTTACGCGCTCACTATTTCGTGCCTTCACGTTGCAAATCTGTAGTGAGACAAAGTAATTAGAGTGAGACAATGTTAACATTGTCTCACTAAAGAGCGAATTGGCCACTTTGCTTTCTCAAATCAGTGAGAGAACATGTACATTGTTCGGTAACTGTAGGAAAAATAATTTATCACATTCCAAAATGGCGGATCCAAGATGGCGGCCAAAAAAAATACATTTGTCATAACCAAGTGAAAATAGGTTGACAATGACTGGTACTGGTAGTGTATACTTATCTTTATCTAGCACTATTTTGAGATGATGGTCTTAGTTTGTAAATGCACAATGTTAAAATGGGCTAAAAATAAAGTTTTAAAAAGCCCTCATAACTTTGGGATGGATCAAGATTTTTTTAAACTGTTTATGGCATTGTAATCAGGGTAAAAATCTAGTTCGAAATAATGGGTCACAACCCCACCTTTACGTTTGAAACAAATATTTTGCTTCCAATATGGCGTATCCAAGATGGAGGCCGGAAATGAACACCTTTTAAAAATGAATTACTTACTACCCAACAATGATTGGAAGTGGTCTGGGATTGATATTTGAAAAAATGTAGAAAAAAGTTAGGGGGGGGGGCAATTAAAACTCACCCTGTATAAGGATGTAAAATTTTAATAAAAATTTGGCTTTTACAAAATATTACCATGATATATGCATGCCTCTATCTATTTATGTGTACCAAAATAAAATTATTTTATTTTGAATGAATGCATCTAACATTTCTTTATTTTTCAGTGGAAAATGGACTTCATAACTGGCTTAGTGTGCAAACAGTTTTCAGTGCTTATGATAATGAAACGGTAAGGACAGTGAATGCATGGGGCATGGATAAAATAGTAAAATGTATTTAAAATCAAATGTATCAATATGTTTTTACCTATATATTTTTCAAAATCAATTACTTGAGTTCATATTGCGATTACAAAACCTAAACATATCCTTCAGTGACCATTAGTCATACAACAGCGCTTCCATATAGGTACTAAATTATTTATTTTTTTTAAGCTCTACAAAACGGTTTAAAAAAAGTTGCAAAATGTTTTGTTTATGTTTTGTTTTCCAAAAATGGGAAAAATCCATTTTTACCCAATAAAACCACATTCCCATGGCCCGATTGTTCTGGTTCGCAAACTCGTTTGAATAAACGTATGTTTACACGTTTGTACCAAATTTCATCAAAATCGGATCATTTTAGCTCGAGTTATCACGCTAACGGACACACACACATATATATATGAATTTGAACGGATGGCGTTTTTGGCATCTAGGGACCTCAAAACGAGAAATTAAATCGGTCCCGGGTCCAGGTCTTATCATGAGTATTATGGTTATAGCTTATTCCCTGTATGGGAAATTATCGCTAATAAAATATCGCTAAAACAGCAATATTGCTCAAAAATGCTGAGTAATATATGGGTTTGTCAATCTATAAAAACTCCAAAAATTATTATTTGTAATGATTCATTGCTGTGCAACATTCAGAAATAAACAGTAGTTGTGTAAGAACATCTCCTACATGACCCATAAGAATTATTACAATCATCAAAATAAGAATTTAAACCTTGTGTGGTGTGGTGGGGGAGGAACTATTTTGAAAAAGCCGACTGCTGATTTTGTTGTATGAGTGATCAAACAAATGTTTAACATTTTTAAAACTTGATATATTTGGATTCATATATTTTAATACATAATCATAAGATAAAATGTAATATTACTAGGCAGGAGGGACGCGTTGCAGAAAGTCAACAGTCCCGGAAGGTCAAATAATTTATACCTGTACCGCTAGGTCAAAAACTACAATGTTTGCAGTGTCTGTAGATCAAAAATCTCAGTAAGTCAAATAGTACAGTCCGAGCCCGCTAAAAACGTGGTTTATGTTAAAGCAATTGACTTATTGGGAATTTGAGCTAATGCAACAGCAGTTTTAATATAACGAAATAAGATAAAATATAAGTTCAGTTTCGCTGAGTCAACAGTGCCGGAAGGTCAAAAGTATAATCGGTTAAAAACAACGTTAGTCCTCTCGACGCATGACTTCAATAATTTCCCGTTTTGGTGTACTTAAAGTTGTGCTAAAATTTTGAAAATTGGCACAGAGCATCTTGGTGAGTCCTACTCGATGACTATTTTGTTGGAACTTTTAACTATTTACCGATCTAATTAATAAAAATTGATATGTATGGTGAAATAGTTTTAAATCGTGATTTCTAACATAAAAAAGTTAGCATGCGAGATTTTTGTTTGTTTTTGGGTTAGAGAGGTTTTGTCTGTGGCAAAGTTGTAGCCAAAAGTGTGATGCGTAAAATATATTTTTTTTGAATTTTTTACAATCAGTGGTTCAATAGATAACTTGGGTTGAAGAGGACGGCAAATTTAGCATTTCGCAACGCATGGAAAGAACTACATCGTACGATGCGACTGCTGAGTGGACTTTTAATTTACAGTCCTAAGAACAAGAAAAAGATGAATATATAGATCACCAGTACATTCATATTATTTATAAAACATCTTTCTGTATTACCAGCTTACATTTTTCACTTATAAGAATACATCATAAACAGGGTGTTAAAAATAAGCGGGGAGATACTTTACCTAGTAATTCCTTGGGTCAAAATAAACAGAAAATCAAGGATAACATTTATTCCGAAATCGTTTCGTTAACCAGATATCCACCATTTTGTATTTTTTACATACAAATATTTATCTTTGCACTTTTCCAACCGATGTTTATGAAACTTGGTATGTATGTTAAGGTAGGAGATACCCATGTTATAAAAAAAGACTCATCTCGATTCACCCTAAAATTTCAAAATTTAACACTTAACTACAATATAATATACTTTACTACACCACAATATTTACGTATCACCATAAATCTTTACCAAAATAAAACGTTAACATTTTTAAAATCCAAAGTAAATCAATATAATCTTTCTTTTTTGAAAAATATAAAAAAAGGCGATGGTAAAATAACGACAGGCGGGTTTCGATCTGGGTGTTTCAGGTTTGAATCTAGGAGGATTTAACATTAATTAGGTAACATTAATGTTTAATAGACTCCTCATCCCATTGTAAATTTTGAAGCTTGTTTTTTGCATCTAGTTCATGTACACACACTGATCGCTAGTGTAGACAACATTTTGTTTCTATTATTTTAGGGTTATTTTCATGACTTTTGCTTTACTGTTTGGTTATATAACTAGGAGACCAGTTATTGTTTATGATTATATCGTTTTATTGGTTCAATACTCCTAGGTTTGAACTGATTGAGAGGAATACATGAAACCGAAGGGGGGAGGTAGCAACAAGTGCACTAGTATTTACTAGTGTCCAATTACAATTTGATGGATTTAACCAAAACCTTTTCTATTTCACTTATTTTCAGCTGCTAAATTTCAAACGATACGTTTTAGCGACATCAATAACGTTATTATCATCATCATCGTTTGAGTTTGGGTTTGCGGCAATGTATTTTTATGAATAAAACCTTTAATTTGATAACAAACTTGACCTCTGCTGCTATTAATTGACTGTATGCACTATTAATTAACAGCTGTGTCTAAGGATTATGTCGGCCTTAGTCACAAACAGGACAAAAAGATCGCTCCACTCATCCCACACTCATCTCCATTCATACTTGGCTTAAAATGCATACATTTGTATGGTCGCCATTTCAAAGCAACATGGCTACATTATCAATGACAAACGTGGAAAACCTTATACGAGTGTGAGTAAGTCCGAAAACAGAATCAGTCCGAAAACAACTCTAAAAAACAATAAGCAATAAATTGCAAGAACCGTTGCTTATATCATTGGGTATACACGTATGTACTGACGTGTATACTCAATGCTTATATCGAACGAATGTACATCGTGAGAATTTCCATTAGTTGTTCCATTTAGTTGTGTGTCCATTATTATAATAGTTTAGTTGACTCTTTTAAAGTCAGCGGAAATTGTGACTGTTATTACCCTTGAAATGATGTTTGTGTAGTACTTTGCAATCCTACCAATGCTTATAGAATCATACGATTACAATTTTCTGGTTAGAATATGTCGCATAGAGTGGTGACTACTGTATCTTTTTGGTTTGCTTGTAAAACAGGATCAACAGAGATTTTCATCGACTTAAACAATACGATACTCTCAAATTGTTCATTGCAATAACAAAATATCACACAGTTTGATGAATATTTGTGTGTAAACCACATACAGTACACCTGTATTCTATCTATTTTAACTTTTATTTTTCCAAGACTTTATAGAAAATCACGCATTACGTGATCAGTGAAGAAAGGCTGTATCCCATGTGTTTTATAGGTAAAGAAGACAAGGGCGGTCCTAGACATATATTTTGGGGGGGGGGGGTCACCGGGGGCCTGGGGGGTCCTGGGGTTCCCCCCGGGAAAAATATATAAATAAATAAATATAGGCTATACAGAGTGATCAACTCAAGGAGGCCACCATGGCCACAATGGGGGACATTCCTTTATTTTTTGTGACAGTTAAAAATATGATTTTAGTTTTTTTTTAACTCACCCACCATTTTCCAAAATGGCGGCCAAATTGAAAATTTCTCATGGAACACCCTATATTTTAGCATGTTTTCGGATAGAATAGGCAATTTAAAAACTTTTTTAGCCTTGACATTTTTTCGATAAACCCACTCGTTTAGGAGTACAGCCTATGAAAAAATGACTCCCGGTGTACATTTTACATCATGTAGCTCCTAAACAAGTAAGTTTATAGAAAAAATGCAAAAAGTAAATTAGTCTTAGAATTGCATCTACATTTCTTAAAGACTATAAAATAAAAAGTTTTCCACTTTTCAAGTTTGCCGCCAGTTTTTAAATAATATAATTCATATTTTTAATGAATATTATGGTCTTTTTTGGAATGTGGATGCAGTTGTAAGACTTTTTTACTCTTCGCATTTTTTCTATAAACTTACTTGTTTAGGAGCTACATGATGTAAAATGTACACCGGGAGTCATTTTTTCATAGGCTGTACTCCTAAACGAGTGGGTTTATCGAAAAAATGTCAAGGAGTTCTTAGTTCTTAGGACTGTAAATTAAAAGTCCACTCAGCAGTCGCATCGTACGATGTAGTTCTTTCCATGCGTTGCGAAATGCTAAATTTGCCGTCCTCTTCAACCCAAGTTATCTATTGAACCACTGATTGTAAAAAATTCAAAAAAAATATATTTTACGCATCACACTTTTGGCTACAACTTTGCCACAGACAAAACCTCTCTAACCCAAAAACAAAAAAAAACCTCGCATGCTAACTTTTTTATGTTAGAAATCACGATTTAAAACTATTTCACCATACATATCAATTTTTATTAATTAGATCGGTAAATAGTTAAAAGTTCCAACAAAATAGTCATCGAGTAGGACTCACCAAGATGCTCTGTGCCAATTTTCAAAATTTTAGCACAACTTTAAGTACACCAAAACGGGAAATTATTGAAGTCATGCGTCGAGAGGACTAACGTTGTTTTTAACCGATTATACTTTTGACCTTCCGGCACTGTTGACTCAGCGAAACTGAACCTAGACAAACACTGTGACACGAGAATTTTATATATTAGATATTTCATATCATAAGTTATGCAGTGTTAATTTCCCCATTATGTGTAATTTTAATATTCAATTCCTTTGTTACATGTTCCCTACAATTAATTAGTTTATCCTCACATCTATTACTTATTTAATACGCAAGCAGATTTTTTGTGACAATTACTCCTCCGAAACTACTTAACCGATTGCCATGTTTTTGGTGTCATTGAAAAGAGCGTAACGTGAAGTTGTGCAGGAAACTTTTTTTATAGGGAAATAATTAGAGAGTGAGACCCTGGGGCCCTTTAAAGTTTTGTATTTCTCCATAAGATTAACGTGGGAAACAAACATTGTTATGAAACTCCAGCTGTTGTCTGAAATGCTGTTCTGCTATTTTGTTAATTTAATTTGTTTACAAGGAGAATTGTTTTTTAGTGCCATGTGGTCAATAAGTTATACTTTTGCATATATTTTAAATGATATACACTATATAAAATGATGGTACTGTAATACATTAAGAGATATTCATTTAAATAATCAATAAGTACGATTGAGCCTTTGCCTATATGTTTCCTGGTAAGTGTGTTGTAACTTCCTTATAGTATATTATAGTATCTTAAAGTAAAACCAAATTATTCTTTTCTGCATTCTCACCTCGTAGCGAAGCACGGGCAGAGCAACTAGTATTTTCTTATTGTTGTTATTAGTAAATAAACCTAATGTTGACAAATATTCTGTTCAAGTCAGCACAACACCAACTCCCAAATATAAGAGCCCCCATAATTATTTTAGGAACTCCTGAACATCTTAGTAATACGCCTATACTGTATTAATTACTAGCATTGTACCCAAACTTCTTACGGGGTTGGCGTATAAGTATAAAATGCTTATTGCAGTTATACTTGTAAAAGGTATTTTCATCGATTCGGTAAATCCCGAATAGGTAAATATAATAACAGTAAAAGCAAAGTTGGACAGGGTAGATTAAGATTTATTGTTTACATTTTAAATTGACATGTTTGCTTTTTAACAGTTCAGTTAAAAGATCCACGAGGGCCACGCACAGTTCCTAATCATGTACTTTTTACTGCTTACGCTTCTTCAAAGCTTTTAATACCAAAATATCCATTTCATTATCTAAATCATCGTATAACATCATAGTAGCCACTACTTACCTCTCCCGTGAAACTTAAGTTACGCACCAACCGTGTGTATTGTACGCAGTCTAGGAAACCACTCACGGCAGCTGCGTTTTGGGACCTGGATAAAAGACGCAGCGCATCTATTACGCGTCTAGGAAACCACAGCCTCGAGAGTGTGCATTGTACACCAGTATGAGAATTCACTTCGTTCATTCAATTACCTTCCTTATAGCAAACATTTGGTTATAATAGTTACATAAGTGTAGTACTGGTGGAGGGGGGCAGGGAGGGAAATATGAAATATCGCTTCTTAATTACCATATAAAGTGATTTGGGTACCTATATTAAACATACAATGCCCCCCTGTGTTTGTTTGGGGTGAACCCCATTCTACCGCGCTAGCATTGAACTCCCTCCAAACAGTCACCTAACCATCGATGTTTAGGACCTCGTCCTCTAAAGAGTCGAACATCTGACAGTACTCTAGCGGCAATGGGTTGGTTGGTTGTGTGTGAAGTAGCAGAAGAAAAAAATACTCGATATTTACTCCTGCCGGGAATGTTGCTGAAAGTCAACAGTCCCGGAAGATCAAATAATTTATACCTGTGCCGCTAGGTCAAAAACTACAATGTTTGCAGTGTCTGTAGATCAAAAGTCCCAGTAAGTCAAATAGTACAGTCCGAGCTAAAAACGTGGTCTATGTTAAAGCAATTGACTTATTGGGAATTTGACCTAATGCAACAGCAGTTTTAATATAACGAAATACGGTAAAATGCAAGTTCAGTTTCGCTGAGTCAACAGTGCCGGAAGATCAAAAGCAATAAAAGTGAACGTCGATTCAGTGTAAAGTAGACCTCCTGCAACGCATACTACACCAACAAAACCTGCTTTTAGTTACTTCGTGTTTTGTCATAATTAGAATAGAGCTAAAATTATCATATTTGGTACATAGCTTATCTATTAATGCTTCTTGCCAACTGTTTGGTCAACACTGTAAATAGGTATAGTTTATGTAATGAAAAGCCTTTCGTCAAAATTTGTGGCATAAAATACACGCAAGGACGATCTGAAAATTTCTGGTAATTATATACGTTTGTAAAAGGAGATCCATTTAATTGTAGAACTATTTTATGAGTTATAATGTAGTCTACATATAAACTGTGTAAATGTATTACGCCTCGGAAGGGTTGAAACCTGTCCAAACTATCATATATATTATTAAAACGTAAATGGGGTTTTTCACGATTCTGAATCAACCAGACGATGGAGTATACACCATCGATGTATAATAACTACACGTCAGTACATACGTGTATACCCAATGATATAAGCAACGGTTCTTGCAATTTATTTCTTATTGTTTTTTACAGTTGTTTTCGTACTTACTCTGTTTTCGGACTTACTCACACTCGTATAAGGTTTTCCACGTTTGTCATTGATAATGTAGCCATGTTGCTTTGAAATGGCGACCATACAAATGTATGCATTTTAAGCCAAGTATGAATGGAGATGAATGTGGGATGAGTGGAGCGATCTTGTTGTCCTGTTTGTGACTAAGGCCGACATAATCCTTAGACACAGCTGTTAATTAATAGTGCATACAGTCAATTAATAGCAGCAGAGGTAAAGTTTGGTATAAAATTAAAGGTTTTATTCACGCCACCTGCATTTGGGATATAGAGAGCTAGCCTAGCCTGGCTGCCATCTCTACAACATAAACAACATAACACAGTACTATTCATTGTTTTAAGTGTATTGTTTTTATATAGGTAGATTAACGGTGACTTTAAATTAGTAATTTCTAATAAAATGTTAAATGACTAGATTATTAACAATGATATGGGATTTTTCATGGTACAAATTTTAAAGCAAATGAGTTTTATAATACAATGTCATTTAAAACATGTTTCTATCGTGTCTAGTTCACGAGATATGAGTGATGTTCTAGAACGTGCCTCAGCGCTACTTCCCCCCTCCCCCACAAGTTGTGCACCTGCTGGGAGGGCGACAACATCGGTTTTTGTCATTTCCAAGATGCCCCCAACAACAATCAAAAGTCAAAAATAGTTACACTTTCAGTATACCCAATTTTTACAAGTCTGCACCACACTTAGATTTCTGCCGCGAAGCGGAGTCACCATGCCGCTTCATCGGAAACTACTATATAAAGTATTTAAAACTATATAAACTATATTAACTATATACAGATTTAGAGCACCTACACCCCCCCCCCCCCCACCAAGTTGTGTTCACTTTTATATGCTTGATTTTGTATTTTATTGGAAAATCTTATTACAAAGCAAAGTTCAGGGTTTGCTTTAAAAGTTAGAAGGACAAGTATAAATAGCTAAGGGATGAGTTAATGATTATCACGCAAAAAATATATTATTTTAAACTCAACTAAGATCATTAGGAAATGGTAAATAATTAAAATGTCACAAATTTAAGTCACAAAGTGACACTAGCTGCTAGTGTTTATAAAGTGTATTTTTTAAATGTTTGTTTTGCCTAAAAATATTATCTGAGTTGTTAATACTTTTAGTACATTACTGATCAAGTCATTGACTTGGCTAGAAAGAACTAATATTAATAGATGTGGAAGTTTGGAGTATGCCAATAACTTGAAAACTTGACCAATTGAGCTCATTTTTTCCTTGAATAGAGCTAATATACCAGCACAGATTCAATGGACTTAGTCACTTCAGCAAATTTCCCATATAGGTCTAAAACTTTGAGCTACTCCCAAAATAGAGTCCAGAGCAAAAGTGTAATATACCGACCAAAAAGTAATCTTTCCACAACATGGAAATCGTGACATGGTCACATATCGCCACACATGTAAACAGTAAGCAAAATAGCTAATTTCCGCTTTATTCCATTCTCGCTTACCTTAGATGAAATTAAATTAGTTTAAGTAACACTAAGATTCCAATCAAACTTGCCATTTGATCCCTTTGATCAGGCTTTCAACACTAATTAATTGTGTTGCAGATATATTTTGTGGACTACTTGCGTATATTTGCCCTCAACTCGCACTGGTATCTGTTCGAGGACCACAGTTATACGACTTGGCGGGGCCTAGCTACAGTATGGATCAGTCTTTCAGGAACATTCATCTGGAACTTTATTGACTTATTTATCATGCTTGTCAGTTCTGCACTTGCAGCTCAGTTCAATGTGCTCAATAGAGCGCTCAGAGCAATACGAGGAAAGGTTAGACTTGTGGATGTGCTTTCTTTAGGCATAGATCAAACTTATTCCTCTATGGGTTTATCATCCTTATTGATCAATTGAAGATTTAAGCAATTTTTAAATAAAATACCCAGTGAGGCATGAGTAACTTGCCCTTATCATCAAGTATTTATTAAGTAAAACTTAGGTAAGAGATAAACAATAATTTAATATTTAGTTTAATATACACACTCATCGGAAACAACAAACAAGGTAATATGCTTGTTAAAAACAAAACTCACTACATTAGAACATTATGAACAGACAACTTGCAGTATTCTCTAAGTTTATCATTCATGCTTAATGCTATGCTCTAAAATAAATAGATGTTCAATTGCCAAACTTTAATTAGAGTTTAAAACTTCATTATAATTTTTCTTTAGTTCAAGTGAATAAAAAAGTACCACTCAAAATTATGAAGATTTCCATAAATCAGCAATATAAAAATTACCCATCACATTTAAAAGTACTAAATTAAATTACTAAAGTACAACATTTTAAAGTACCCTCTCACAGCATTCTGTGAATCAGCTTATATATTCCTTTAATATTGTTTTCCTCAATTTATTATGTATTCACGCAGATACTTACTCAGCTGGAGTGGAGAGAGTACCGTGAAATGTACGCTTCTCTCACTCATCTGGTGAAGCTCGTGGATCACCACATCAACCGTATCATCGTTCTGTCTGTCACCAACAACGTCTACTTCATCTGCGCTCAGCTCATAACTGAGATAGAGTAACGACTAATAACCTTTTCTGCACTCTTTGCGAATACCTACTGTATTTTGTTTATTTACACGCTTGCTTGCCATGTTCAATCGGTTGCTTAGCTGATTCCATTAAATTTGTTCTAGTTAAATATGAAAATGTGTAGCTAAGGAGTTTTGATTATCTTATCTTTGGTTGTTTTACATTCCCTACTGAACGACTACTGTCATATTGCAAGCTATTTTATTTTTATAAACACTGATTAAACACTGGATGCATTGAGACACAGCCTCGACACCATTTTGATTGTTCTCGTATGATGCACGCCAAGCTTTGGGCACCTGCACTAGACTAAACTTTCCCCTTGTTTTTGTTTAGATAAACACAATAGATAAAGGCACCACACTGTTCATTAACTACTTATAACTGCGTAATTCCCTGCTACACGTCAGGTCTTAGTGCGGACAACCTGCGGCTTAGCAGAAGTGAAGTATAATGTTATACTTCAAGAAAGCTACAGTTTCAGCAATATTCTTACTTGTGTAATTTAAAACTGTATTGATAACTTAAAAAAATGAGCTGAATGTGCTGATTATGTAATTATTAACAAGTATCTTGAATTTTACCCTTAACTTATAATGTTTTCATAATTTTTTACTCACCCTAACTTGCTGTGATAAGTTTAGCTCGAGTAATATGATTTATACCAACTAACAAATTACTTTAATATACTTTATAATCAAGCTGCTCACTGCTATTATTTATGTTTTTCTTGATTTTTATTGGTTATTCATCAATATCAGCAGTAGGACATTCAACTCTGATTTCAATTAGGTCAGGAATATTTTCACAAAAACAGATCTGAAAACGCATTGCATACCCTACATCTCAAAACAAAAAGATACTTCTCTATACTAAACATGTAGGCTACGGATGAGGTAAAATTGTAAAAACAAAGAAATAAATAAAATAGATATATTTGATAATTTACAAAAGTATAAAACTTTTATTAAGGCATAGTAAACCTGTTTATGCCGTTTTGTTGAACACCTCTATCATTCAGTCTCAAGCTTTTTCACAATAGAATTCAACTCTAATTTTCTAGCTTCTGCACTTATTTCCTCCATGTCGATGGTTTCTCTTATGACTAATTTTACTGATGGCGCTTCTAAACACTGTAACACAAATAAAATAAAATAAATTAATAACAGCATTTGAGGAAAAAATTTGTTTTTAATCAGCGCAAAATTATGTAGTTTATTTCAGAGTGTGATCTATTTTAGCATGTCAGTTGACTGATGCTATAATACAAATCTGATATTCTTGTTATAAATATCAAAACAAAACGATTAATGACTACATATTATGAAAATGTAGCATTTAGTAGGATCTTAAGGAAGCAAATCAAATTGTATTATTCTCATGTAACCAGCACTAGGTTGATATTAGAGACTTTAGTCTTAGTCATGTATCAAGACCAAATCTCAAAACCACAAAAGCTTTGGAAAAATATCGTTTTAGAGAGTCGATCGGCGAGTTTTGTGAAGTTTCGGTTCCGAGGTTCGATCAGTCACGTATTACAGTCAGTAGCATTTTTGGATTCTTAGTACAATTTTCAAGCAATTTTTGTAAGGTTTCGATTAAGAGGGTAGACTGTTAGCTTTGCCAGCAACTAAATAAACCACCACCACTAACTCCATTCAAACAAGTAAATAATACTAGGGGCCCATAGTAGCAATTGCTGGCCTTCAACACGTTGTAATTTGGCCTTAACCATTCCTTATGTTGTGCACCATTCCTATAAACTCTCCTTTGTAGTCGTGGTCTTCCCCTAACACACCATCTCCCAATCTTGTTCTAGTCTCTTTTTTTTGTTTGGCATACATACAAACTTTCCCCTTTCTTTCTCATCTGCTCCCAGTGCATTTGCCACTCATCTAATGTGTCCTCTCTTCTGGCAATCTTGCTTTCCAACCTAGTCCTACCCGCGGCCTTGTCTCCAAAATCCTTTCTTTAATGAGCAGGTTGAGTGGTATGGCTCTAGTAAAAACCTTAATCGTATGCGATATTATGTTGTATGATTTCCCTACTTTCAACAAAACTATTCTTAGCATCCTAAACATTTACTTTTCAATCTTATCTCCTTACCACCCTTACCCTAGAACTCGCATCTGTAAAGTATTTCTGGCTCAACCCCGAATGTATAGCGTCATCAAATACTTCCCAGTCATGCGTTTATTGGCTTTGGCCTGTCCTGCTAATTTTTTATTTCCAAGACTCTTTTTTTGCACATTTCCTCCACATGTTTTTCAAAAGTCATTCATTTACCTACAGTCACTCAATCAAGCATGACTATATATCAAGATTCCTGTTTAACACAACAATGGCTTTTTCCAGAATTTTTGGGACCCGTCCCAACAAACAAATCTAATAAATCCTTATAGCTCATGTTTCATTTAATTAAAATATTAGTATAGTTTCAAATATTAGTGTAAATTTAAAAAGTATTCATCTGTTCAAATGTAAACAATAATTTTTTCCCTGAGAATAACATGGGAAATTTGAAGGCCACTTGGGCAGAGCCCTGATGGAATTTCAAACATATTTTTTTTTGATGGCACATCTACATGCCACGACCTATCCAATGACACCTTAAACATGGTCATCGGATGTATAGTAGCTTCAAAACAATTACCACAAAATAACAGATGAGTCAAATTTACATTATAGTGTTGAACCTAACCCTTTCTAACGTGTCATTATTATTGCATGCATATATTTTCAAAGTCAACTAAACTATTCTCATTGTATTCTGTTTTTGGTGGCAGACATTAGTCTGTCTCAGTAAGGTTGCCGCATTGTTGCTCATCTAACGCACCCATTTATTACAACCTTGCACGATTTCAATATCAAACAATCTGTCACGCCAGTGGCATTTTGAACGAAAGTAATAACTTACTAATGCTTTTTTGGGAAAGTGCTCCAAAATTTCAGTTCCTGTTTCAATATGTTTTTATTGAAAGAAAGTATTTTAAAATTGTGTATAAACTTGAGATTAAAATAGAATATGAAAATAGAAGAAAATGCAACCAAACTCATGCTGTTTGCTACCCTTGCCCCAATCTCTAATGTACAACAAAACTATCAGTTTGACTTACGTAGGTGACATAGGGCTATGTCTCACACACCAGTCTGTTACCTATAAATCGACAAATAATTTTTATTTCTGGCCAACCCAAAGAGCACCATTTACCACGGTCACTGCCTAGCATTTTCTTCTGTTCCCAAGAGCGAGAAAAAATATAGGAAAAGGATAAAAAATCATTGATTCACTCACGTTGGCCACAAACTGAAGGGTTGGATGCAGTTCTGTAATTGTTGAACCACATCCCACTGGAACTGGAATCTTCTCTGCACAACTCAAAGGAGAAACAATAATTCTTTCTTTCATATCTTGTAGTAGAGATTGTAAAGTACTTAACAGTTTTGATAACTTTGATTCTTCATCTTGGTCATCTTCTAACTTCTTTGATTGAATCTGTTCATAAGATTACAGTTAGTGATAAAAACTTCTCATGATTACACATTTCAGCCTGTATAAGAATAGAGAATGAGTGTAGAATAGAGTGAGATATTTGCGTAGGTTTGGAACTGTTACTCACTGAGACCAGCCTTTTCTTTAACCAGGCTAATTTATTAAAAGATCAATTAACACTAACGACAATTATTTATTACTTAAATAACATAACCCTAACTTTCCGGTTGGTTTATGCTCCTCAAATTCTTAATAGTCAATTGCCAAAACTGACAAAAATAACAAGAAATTAACATTTTCTAATTTTGCTTTGTTCACCAAATTATTTACACTAAAAAAGTTTTTGTCTGAATTATTGATAGTAAATTGCCAAAACTAACAAAGATAACAAGAAATTAAAACTTTCTAATAGTGCTTCATTCCACTAAATTATTTACATTAAGCCTACAATTTTTTTGTCTGCAAAATTCGGTAAAAGTCATTGTGCTATCCAATTGTATAGTTGTTTTTATGCCCCATCCACGTTATGCCGAATGCCAGCTTTTGCCGATCGGCAATGCTGCATGCCGATTCCAAACCATCAGGTTGTCGGTCCAGATCAAAGGAAACTGAGCGGCCAAGACGTTCGATCGCTTTGCTGTACGGCCACCATTGGCAAAGTGAGGATGTGACTGTAGATTCATGCTTAATATCTCAACAAAGAAGTAAAGCAAAGATTTGTTGCAACGGAAATCATATGCAAAGGTTAACTAATTGAACTTATCTCTCATTAAACAAACAAATCTTCAACTGTATGAATCATTAGCAATTTACCTGGACTAAAGAAGTTCTTTTCTGTTTCATTAAATTTATGAGTTCCAAAGTATTTTTTGCCTTCTCCAACAGTTCATTGAGTTCTTTGGTATCAACATTTTTAGAAGCACGTTTTTTTAAAGTCTTTGAAAGTAGTTCCGAGCCCTGAAAAACACACACAAAATTAAATAATGGAGGACGGTGATCACTTAAAAGATTACAAAAGCTAAAGCTATGAAAAATAACATAATTTTTTGACAAAAAAGTACTGGGGAAGTAGTTTAAAAAATAAGTGTTTTGCTACAGCTACATGTTTGACCAACACTGTCTTGGAAGAATCCATGCTTTATGCAGTAAAAGTGCTTGATGTAATCTATATAATTAATACGGTACATCAAACTTTGTCGGTTGAACTCCTCCGCCATTTCTTAACTGATTTTATCCATTGACGTCTCATTGGGCAGAGCGTGTCGCGTAGATTTGCAAACTGGCCTTGCATTTTTGAAAAAGCCCCTTGGGCTCTGCCCCAATGGCTTTGAAAGTTCCCATGTTATCCTTATGAAGAGTATAATTGTTTACATATTGATCAGCTGTATGATTTAATTGCTGTTATTTATTTTTCAATTTAATGAAACGCATTGAGTACATTATTTACTATTTGAGTTTGTGTAAACATAACATCCAAGACGGATCGTGTTAGTATGGTTGTTTCTTAAATTTGTGCATTTATCGTTGTTTTGTGTTGCTATAATTAGTTTATTTGTTGTTTTTTTTCTTTTAAATGCCTCCGACGCGATGAAAACGAAACATAGACAGGAGGCGTAATCGTGATAACGCAGCTACAGAACAGTGGCGCGTAATAGGCTTAATTCATAACAGTCAGCACTTGACCCTGGACAATCTCAACTATTAGGTTACAAATGCGCCCTAACACTACCTCAAAACGACTTTCGTTCTCAATTGGCCCTCTATCAATGTAACAGCGAGGCATTTTGAGAAGGAGAAAACCGGCCGGAATGCTTTAGGTTTATCAATAACGAAGATAAACATGGTCTGAGTTACACACCGGTAATCTTTGAGTTGACTCTTTTAAACTCATTGTAAATATGACTGTTATTCGTTTTGAAATAACTCCTGTGATACTTTGCAATTGCTTGAGTTCGAGCAACATGTACACTAGTATGTACCTATTATTTATAATCAGAAATCCAAATTCTTTCTTCATTCAAACTTGATCGCCATATCACAGGTTAATAAGAAATCTAAAGTGAAGTTTTCATTGAATTTCAAGAATTTGGAAATACAATCTTTATGCCTGCCAAAGGAGAGTTAGTATTGCTGTAGAGCATATGATCAGTTAAAGAACAAAAAATGTTTATATATTTCAGTGCTTTGCTTAGAGTAGGTAACTGCTTGTCCTTTTTACTTTATGACATGAAATGAAATGAAAATTGTTTTTATTCTTGAGCGTTTTTCATATTAAAACATAATGTTTTTCAAAACAACTCACTTCAACATAAATAACATAAAACAATGGCAACTTTCAAATCTTAAGTTAGGCTAATTAAAAATTAAAATATTTTCTCTATTCCTTTTTATTTTACCATTCTTCAAGCCATTTGTCATATATTTTTTAAACGACTTTTCACTGTCCAACACCCCTGGCTCAGTTCTGGATGTCAATATATTCCAGATTTTAGGGGCAAAATAAGAAAACCCACAACGGTCGAACTCACAGCGCACACGGGGCATCTCCAGCATGTCATCCTGCCGTGTGCATTGGGATCGCATCTCAGAGCGAGCTCTCAGTCTTACCTTGGGGTGCACAGAAGGAGCCTCCCCGAAGATTGTGACCATTACACGCTATGAACGACATCACAATCGGGCGCACCCCGGGCAACGCTGACATGTCAGCGGCAAATCCATCTACAACCGGACGACTTCGAAAAATGAATCTGCTTAAACTGTCTTTTTCAAGGCCACTAGTAACGATCTCGATTAATATCAAGGGAATATCGAGAGACAAAGAAGTATTACTGTCTGATATGTGCAAGACGTACGAATGCGACTTCCTCCTTGTGCAAGAAACACACCGGGGCATTTTAAAACCTATACCCAACATAGAGGGAATGAGACTGATTCTAGAGAGACCTCATGATCAATATGGTAGTGCTGTTTTTGCCAGGCCATACATTGACATCACCTCAGCTTCGCTTACTGAGAGGAACAATACTGAGATACTAACGGTCAGGACACCACAGTACAGTGTCACCTCTTTGTATAAGCCTCCCGAATGTCAGTATGTATTTACAGAGCCTGATAATCTATGCTATGATGACATTAATTTTGTCTTGGGGGATTTTAATTGTCAGAGCATTGCTTGGGGATACAAAGAGACAAGTAAAAATGGGACAAAACTTGAAACCTGGGCTGAGGCAAATGACCTGCAGCTCATACACAATCCTAAGCTCCCTTGCGCATTAAACAGCGGTAGATGGAAGAGTAGTTATAACCCTTACAACATCTTTGTGAGCAGCAGGATTGCTTCCCAGTATGAAAAGTCTGTAGGTGATCCGATTTCCCAAACTCAACACAGACCTATAGTATGCACCGTTAGTGCTGTTGTTAAACCTGAAGTTGTTCCTCTAAGGAGCAGGTTTAATTTCAAAAAGGCCAACTGGACGGGTTTTAGGGAGATCATTGACAGAGAAATCGCCAATATCCCTCCACAACCTGATATGTATGACTCCTTTGTTAAAGCTTGTCCAGCAGGTCTCGAGAAAAATGATACCTAGAGGCTGTCAAACCCATTACATCGCAGGACTCTCTGAAGAGGCAAAGCCACTGCTAGAACGATACCAAGGTCTCTTTGACAATGATCCCTTTGCTGAGGACACACTTCTAGCAGGTGAAGAGCTTATGTCAGTCATTGCCGAAAATCGCAAAACTAAGTGGTGTGATCTTGTGGAGAGTTTAGATATGCAGGTGAACAGCAGACGGGCCTGGAAGTTCCTCAAGAACATAAATGGAGATGCGACAAAACCAAAAGACAACTTTACAACAGTTACTGTCGATCAAGTCGCTACCAACCTTCTTTTAAATGGCAAAACCTATGGAAGGAAATACCGGGAGCCTGTTGTGCGTGATGTGGCAAGTGAGAATCACTTCCTGGAAGAACCATTCACCATGTCCGAGCTAACTGCAGTCATTACCAGCTTAAAGACTAATAGAGCTCCAGGTATTGATGAGATCAGAGTCGAACAACTAAAGAACCTAAGTAATGGTTGTTGAGCCTCATGAACATGTGCGTAAGCCAAATGCATATACCAAAGGCATGGAGGAAAGCTCGTGTGGCTGCACTGCTCAAATCTGGGAAAGATCCAAACGATCCTAAGAACTTTTGACCCGTTTCTCTCTTATGCCACACATATAAAATATTAGAACGTCTGATACTCAATCGAATCGGTGATTTTCTGGAACAAAAGATCATTCCACAACAGGCAAGCTTTCGATCAGGCAAGTCTTGTTGTGGCCAAGTTTTGAACCTGACCCAGCACATTGAGGATGGGTTTGAGAGAAAACAGATCACGGGTGTCGCTTTTGTAGATATAACAGCTGCCTACGATACCGTAAACCATCGAAGACTCTTGGGAAAAGTGTATAGTATTACCAAAGACTGTCAGCTGACTTCAATGATAGGCACTTTTCTTCATAACAGGCGGTTTTTCGTGTCCCTTCAAGGCAAGAAAAGTAGATGGAGGAATCAAAGAAATGGATTGCCTCAGGGTAGCGTCTTAGCCCCAGCTCTTTATAACATTTACACTAACGACCAACCGTTGCCAAACGCTACACGTCAGTATATATATATGCCGATGATACGGCGGTGGCGGCACAAGGTAGGAGTTTTGAAGAGGTGGAACAGAAGCTGACTATGACTCTAAATGAACTTTCCCAGTACTATGACGCAAATCACCTCAAGCCGAACCCTGCTAAGACCCGGAAGTTTATGCCTTTCACCTAAACAATAGAGAAGCAGGCCGTGAGTTGAATGTGAGGTGGCGGGGAGACTGTCTTCAGCATTGTCCTACACCTAAATATCTTGGTGTCATACTGGACCGCACACTGAAATTTATGGCGCATTGTATTGCGACAAGAGGTAAAGTCTCAGCGAGGAATAATATCATCAGGAAGCTCACCAGCAGATGCTAGGGTGCTAACCCTTATGACCTCAGAACCTCAGCTTTAGCGCTCAGTGTGTCGGCTGCGGAGTACGCTGCAACAGTATGGAATGCATAGTCACATGCAAAAAAGGTTGACATAGCAGTCAATGACATGGCTCGGATTGTAACTGGGTGTTTGAAACCAACCCCAGTACACAAACTCTATCCTATCATAGGGATCGCCCCTCCATCAATCCGACATGATGTCGCTGCCGAAGCAGAAAGGACTAAGCAAGAGACAGACCCTCGTCACCCAATAAACGGCCACCAACCTGCAGAGCCACGGCTTCGGTCCAGAAAGAGCTTTTTATCACGGACACGAGTCCTGGATGGATCACTCTCAAGCAATCAGGTGGCAAGGTGGGAGGCCACGTTGACTAACCTTTCCATACCAGCCAGGGAGGAACTGGCTCCTGGTGAACTGGCCTTCATTACACGGTGTGGAAGACCCTAAATCGAATTAGGGTCGAGATACCAAAATGTAAGACAAACATGCAGAAATGGGGTCTCATACCAGACGAAGAAAACATCTTGTGCGCGTGTGGTGCTGTTCAGGATCCTGGCCATCTACTGATCTGCCCACGCCTAGACCAGTCTTGCACATTAGATGATCTTTTACATGCGAATGACAAAGCCATATCGGTAGCTAATTTTTGGAAAAGCGAAGTCTGATTTCAGGACACGGAAAATAAGTAAGTAGTCTTAACCTTCAGGTACTGAGGTCTCTCTTCTGACAGTACCCTCCGGATGATGCAGGATTGTGCGTAAAAGGCACAAGTCAGCCATAGGCAATAAGCCAAGAAATGTGAGGTCTGATGAAATTCGATCAAATTTTTTGCAGATCGCAGACGTACCTGACGCACATGTTTTGCACCCTCTGCATCCGACTCATGTCTCCCAGTGATATAACATTGCCATACACCGGAAGACAGTAATCAAACACAG